TGCTGGGAAAGAAAAATTGCCCAAGGATTACAAGGAACCCTAAGGACTGCAAGAAATAACCCGTACCCGTACAAAGTGGAATATGAGCGTGTTGAGCTGCATCTCGCAGATCCTGTTCGGCAGGGTTAGTTACTTATTACGGAGTACAGTATACCTGAAGAACTTAAAGAAGACAGTTTATCCTGTTGAAGGAAACCTAAAAGAAACAGCCCTCAAAAAACAGTAAGTTCGATTACATCGTCAAGTAAGTCTTCAGAAATGTATGAGTAAAGCGTTTAACTCACAAATGAGAGGTTCTGGGTCTGAGTCCTTGTAGTTCTGTTAGATGAAAAATTCAAATGGCGACAAAACTATTCTTCAGAACAATCTGACTGACACTGTTCATTAACGGTGCAGTGAAACTTCGTGTCACAGGTTTCCTGCGCAGTACCCTAGGCACTTAGTGGTAACCAGAATTTTGGGACAGTTTAAACGATAACAGTGAAATCCGGAGAAGCGGCCACAATTCTTAAAGTTCATTGGTGCGCTAGTACATATGATCAGGAATGAATCATCCGCAAATAAAATTTCACTGGTCCGTTCCAGAAAATGAACAATATAAAAGTGTCAATCCCTGTATATAAACTTAGATGCTGACTGCGAATAACATTTGTAAATGTCATTTTTTAAACTCTCATTTAATTTTTGAGATCAAGTGAGTACAACGAAATTACGGTGTGTTACAGTCGAGTTGCACTCACTTTTCCGGTTCAGCGTAAAGTTTCGTCACAGCCATTACGGCGCCGCAAACGAATCCGTACCTGGCATCCGGGTTTTCCATTAAGCGTTGAACATAGCTTTGCTCGATTCGACACCTGTAACGACAAAACGTATTTTAAGCATTGGCCCTCAACAAAAAGGCATTTACTTTGGAGCCTGGAACATCGCGTTCAACGTCTCGTCCTGAACGATTTCATCCAACGATGGACACACGTCAGGCGGTGAGTTCGGCTTCGATTCTGGACAGAGGCAGCGCAGGGCGAAGTCACAGATGTCGCGGTATACGTCGAAGTATTTCGCTGGAATAAATGAGCATTTCTCGTACATATCGTGCACGTACACCCAGATGCAGCGCTCAGCAGAGAGACCAGACGTGTGTGACGACTGCTGAACCAACTTTACCAAGCTAAAAGACAAAGAAACTGCGAGAAACCTTATCCACACTTGGACTGGCACAAACGTCAGTAAATTGCCACAGATAAACACTAAATGATGCTGCAACGATCTTGAAGCAATCTTGTGTAACTGTCAGGAAAACAGGGTAGCTGAAATGCCCGCTATAGTGCTGGAAGAGTCACACAGAAGTTAACAGGCATCACATCATTTCGAAAGCGTGTACGTTTAGAATATCTAATTCAGTAAACCCTTCACAGCTGAATTCATTGAAAATTCGCATTGGCCTAAGCACCAGATCTAATAACAGGACAAAACACAGTAATCTGTAATATCTTATCCTGGAAAAAATAAGAAAGCACGGATTTCTCACATGAAAAAAGGAAAAATCAGTGAGCAAATAAGAGCTTTTCCTCGCCATAACTTCAGGTCTATTATATTCTGACCAAAGCATTACAGTATTTAGAGGATTTCTTCAGGGCCATAAGTACATAGGGTCTTCCTCATGTGTTCTGTCCAACCTTAAGGAAGATCGTTGGTTACGGTAGAAACGTTCGAAGTAGTAAGCGTTTGCAATGCTCAATCCGATTATCACTGCATCGAAATCCGCATTATAGAAACATTGTCAATTAGCATTTCCGTAGAGTGGAGCCAAGATGAGCTTCCGATACTGAGTTGGACAGTCAGTTGGTCGGTCGGTTAATCGGTTAGCCAGCCAGTCAGTTTTGATGACCGTTAATCTTTTTGAATCACAGAGGCAGTAGCATCAGATAGTGACTGTAATGTTCTTGATCCTGTGCCAACGTCAGAGCTTCTGTAGAAGAAGACCTGATTTTGGAGCAGAGTACGTCCAAACATTTGACCTAGGTCATCCTCAGCGGTCCAGGGAGAAGGGGTAATCGGCCGGTAGGATGAACATGTATTAGCTGTGATTTTTCTACCCATTTTGAAGCATTTCCGAATTCCAAAACATCGCAGTTGTTACTTATTGACCTGGAGAGAAATGTGAAAAAAGATGAATAGTAAAGACCATGTGTAACTTCTCCGGATATACAGGCAGTTATGATTCAGAGAAATCCGATTGCTCTCTTTACCGGTCGTACTGAAAATTAGAACTGTAACAATAAACTCAAAATACAGTAATTATTTACATAATGCTGCGGAATAGCTAAGCGAGGGTTTGAGAGTATTTGCGCGAGACAGAAGATGACAGCATTCTCACAAACCAGCCTTTTGCGCAGAAAAACACAAAGAACGTCATCATAATGTGCTCCAGTGTTGATCTTATGGCAATGGAAGCACCCTAAAGGCGGCTTCCGTCCCAGTGTCCAACACCGGAAATCCCAACGCCGTCTGTTCCTGACAATTCATGCGAAAAGAATAATAAACTTTTTGGGTCAACTCTGAATAAGCGGAGCTTCACTGAAAAAATTTTGCTATAATAAACCAGAACGAATCGCATTGGGCTGAAAACAAGCCTTACCACTTCCAGACGTTGCATGCCATGTCTTCAAAGTGGATCAAGTACGAGTGGTACTTTCGTAAATAGCCGACCAGACAAACAGCATGATCGAACACAAATGCATCGGCGTTCTGCGAACAGCTATCTTGGATCTTGATGCTGACTTGTGACAACAGTGACAAGACCTGAAACAAGTCAGTCAGTCAATTAATCAATCACCAAAAGTGACTGTTGCTATACGATGGCTGCAACAACTGAACTTACGGCTTCGATAAATTCTACTAACGTACAGACGTTCAATGACATCTCTAGGAGAGCGAGAAAAAAATCGATGTTGTCCACCAACGGTAAATAATTCGACTGTCCAGCGATGAAGCGGCGAAACTGGTCCAGACAGTTGTCGCTGCAGAAGTCGGTGATGACATACTGATCGTAGTAGACAAGTCCCCTGAAGTTAAGGCATTATCTGCGGAAATGAATTCGCGACCTTCCACTATTACGCACCTTATCTTATCCCTCAGCAACTTGAGAAAATTCTTATCCGTGGCGTGCTTGACGCGGAAAAACGTGCTCGATGAAAATTCGGCAGAGTATTTCTTACCCCAGAGCTTGTTCAGCTCCTTCGCGATCTGAACCAGTATATGAACGTTAATATCACAACAATTAAATGTCAAGTAATAAATGACTCCAAAACTACATTTGGCACTGAAGGCGCACTAATGCCGTACATACATGCACAGAAGCTTTAAACCAAACAGCCAAATCCTAAGCCTAAGTGTATGACTAAGCATACACATACAAGTACAGGCATGTATGCATCATATACATAACATAAAGAGACGTACATACATCGACATATATACACATATATGTAGATACATACACACATATATACAAGCATACGCCTATGACAAAGCAAACAAAGTATAAGCCTAAACATACACGGATACATGCTTAGATACATATATAAATACACAGAAGCATACGAACAATTGTAGTCCAATTCTACGCTTATGAGAAAACCTAGTACAAGCCTAACGCTTAGAATAAGCTTAGGCACGCACACAAATAACTATGCATATACATGGACCCAAATCCTGTAGCCTGTTTAATGGCTCCTTCAGGAAACTAGGAGCACGGGGGCGGAGCAGTACGCAGTGATATCTGATACTGGAAAAATTTTCGCTGTTTGACATACACGGGCGCATGAACAGT